ACCATGCCTGGCCCCATCCTTAATACTTGTGCCAACACTAAAATCTATGCTAACACTATTATCAATTTTATATTGATAGTTGAGATTTTCCAATGTGATAGTAAAAAATAGTTTCAATTTGCATTTCTTTTGTTATTAGAAACAATGAGCATCCTGCAGTGGAGAAATTCTTTCTAGGTATAACAGGCAATGCAGAAGTCATAAATAAAAATCCTAATGCATCCAAATTTTATGAATGGCTTATGTCCTTTGCCTATTTTTTTCTATTGGGTTATCTTGTCTTTCTAATTGCTTGAAATACGTTTTTATTATTAGGGATGTTATCCCCTTGCTGTATGTGTTGCTAATATTTTTTCCAAGGTTGCTGTCTTTTTATATGGTTTGCGCCATGAAAGATATAAAATAAAAATATCCTATGGCTTCTGAATTTTGGGCTATGTTTAGAAAAGCTTTCTTCACTTCAAGATTACAAATATATTTATTCAAGTCATTTCTTTTTGGACTCTTATGGTTACTTTTTTATATTAAAATCTTTGCTCTATCTGGAGTTTATTTTGGAGGAGGGAAGTAGGAATCCAATTTTAAAATTATAAATGGTTAGTTGGTTCTTCTAATACCTTTTCTTAAGTTAATCCTGCCATCTCTATCACATGTCCATTTTTATTGGGATCTAACTCTGTACTTACTCCATCTTAGGAACAGGATCTGTTTCACATATTAATATCTGGAGGCAAGTCCCCGCACTCCACCCCCACCATCACTCTTCTTCTTCATAGTGATTCCTAAATGCTTACTCCAAACGAAACTTAGAATAATTCTGACAAACTGTAAATAAAATTCTGTTGATTTTGATTTGGACTAAATTTAATTCAGACACAGATCTAGAAAGAACTGTCATTTTGGCCGGGCACTGTGGCTCATGCCTGTAATCCCAGCACTTCGGGAGGCAGAGGTGGGTGGATCACTGGAGGTCGGGAGTTCAAGACCAGACTGGCCAACAGGGTGAAACCTGTTTCTACTAAAAATTCAAAAAATTAGCTGAGTGTTGTAGTGGGCACCTGCAATCCCAGCTACTCAGGAGGCTGAGGCAGGATCGCTTGAACCTAGGAGATGGTAATGAGCCGATATCACAACCACTACATTACAGTCTGGGTGACAGAGCGAGGCTCCGTCTAAAAAAAAGAAAAATAAAAAACCAAAACCCCTGTCATATATACAATGTTGAGTCTTCTTACCTAAGAACGAGGTGTTTTAATTATTTTGTTTCTTCAGAATTTAACATACTCTTCAAATAGTTTCTAAAAACATTGTTTTTCTACAGGGGGCACCATTCACACCGCAGTCAATGCAATTAAAGGCACTCCACTTCTCTGTGAGATGTACACTAGCAACAATGAGCTTCTTTCTTTTTCTTTTTCTTTTTTGAGACAGCAGGGTCTCATTCTGCTATCCAAGCTGGAATACAGCAGTGTGAACATGGCACACTGCAACCTCAACCTTCTGGACTCAGGCAATCCTACCACCTGAGCCTCCCAAGAGCTGGGACTAAAGGTGTGTGCCACCATACCCAGCTAACGTTTAAATTTTTTGTAGAGATGGGGTCTCCCTCTGTTGCCAAGGCTGGTCACGCTCTCCTGGCCTCCACCTCCCAAAATGCTGGAATTACAGGAGGGAGCTACCTCGTCCAGCCTATTTGTCTTATTTTGTTATTGTGAAGGTGACATTTTCTTCTTTTATACTTAAATTAGTTACTGTTTACCGAGAAAGTAGAGAAAGTTACTGATGTTTGACTGCTAATTTTTTTTTTGAGATGGAATTTTGCTCTGTCACCCAGGCTGAAGTACAATGGCAGGATCTCAGCTCACTGCAACCTTCGCCTCCCGAGTTCAAATGATCTCCTGCCGCAGCCTCCCATGTAGCTGGGATTATAGGCGGGCACCACTATGCCTGGCTAGTTTTTGTATTTATTTGTTTGTTTTTTTGAGACGGAGTTTTGTTCCTGTTGCCCAGGCTGGAGTGCAATGGCGTGATCTTGGCTCCCTGCAATTTCCGCCTCCCGGGTTCAAGTAATTATCCTGCCTCAGCCTCCAGAGTAACTGGGACTACAGGCATGCCTGTATTTTTGTATTTGTATTTTTAGTAGAGGTGAGGTTTCACCATGTTGGCCTTGGCCTCCCTAAGTGCTGGGATTATAGGTGTGAGCCACTGTGCCTAGCCTGAATCCAAATTTTTTTTTTTTTTTTGAGACAGGGTCTCACTCTTGGCACCCAGGTTGGAGTCCAGTGTATGCAATCTCAGCTCATTGCAGTCTCTGCCTCCCAGATTCAAACAATTCTCCCGCCTCAGCCTCCTGAATAGCTTTTTTTTGAAGACAGAGTCTTGCTCCGTCGCCATGCGACAGGCTGGAGTGCAGTGTCGCGATCTTGGCTCACTGCAACCTCTGCCTCCTAGGTTCAAGCGATTCTTCCGCCTCAGCCTCCCAAGTAGCTGGGACCACAGGCACGTGCCACCACGCCCAGCTAATTTTTGTATTTTTAGTAGACAGGGTTTCCACCATGCTGGCCAGACTGGTGTCAAACTCCTGACCTTAAGTGATCTGCCCACCTCAGCCTCCCAAAGTGCTGGGATTACAGGCGTGAGCCACTGCACCCAGCCAATAATTTTAAAATCTGCTATATTACATTGTCTATTGTTTCTTTTTTTCTTTTTTAGAGATGGGAGTCTAGCTACATCCCCAGACTGGAGTGCAGTGGCACTATCATGACTCACAATGTAAACCTGAACTCCTGGCCTCAAGCAATCCTCCTGCCTCAGCCTCCTAATTAGCTGGAATTACATGACATGCTACCATGCTTGGGTTCTTACTATTCTTTTTTTTTTTGAGCAGGCTGGAGTGCAATGGCGTGATCTCGGCTCACCGCAACCTCCACCTCCTGGGTTCAGGCAATTCTCCTGCCTCAGCCTCCTAAGTAGCTGGGATTACAGGCGCGCACCACCATGCCCAGCTAATTTTTTTTGTATTTTCAGTAGAGACGGGGTTTCACCATGTTGACCAGGATGGTCTCTATCTCTTGACCTCGTGATCCACCCGCCTCGGCCTCCCAAAGTGCTGGGATTACAGGCGTGAGCCACCGCGCCCGGCCTGGGTTCTTACTGTTTCTTACAGTTTTTCAGTTGATTCTCTTAGATTTCCAACATATAGTCATATATAAATAAGGATAATTTCATTTAAAACTTTTTATCTACTATACTGTCACAATATCAAATAATGGAATAATGAATATAATTTATGTCATGTCTTTTGACCTTAAGTTCAGTGCTTTTTGAGTATACATTCAATCCACTAAACAGTTATTGAGCACCAACAATCTATAAAGTATTGCTATGGATGAGAAAGACATGGTAAAAAGAAAAATCATTCAATGTTCACATTCATAATCTTTATTTATTTTTAATTTTTTTAAAGGCTTAATGCCAGTTTATTTTTTCTTTATTTTTGTTTTTTGTTTTTTGAGACAGAGTCTTGCTCTGTTGCTGGGTGCCAGGCTGGAGTACAGTGGTGTGATCCCGGCTCACTGCAACCTCTGTCCCCCGGCTTCAAGCAATTCTCCTGCCTCAGCCTCCAGAGTAGCTGGGACTACAAGTGTGTGCCACCACGCCAGGCTAATTTTTGTATTTTTTAGTAGAGACGGGGTTTCATCATGCTCACCAGGATGGTTTCAATCTCTTGACCTCATGATCCACCTGCCTCGGCCTCCCAAAGTGCTGGGATTACAGGCATGAGCCACTGTGCCCAGCCATCTTTATTTATTTTTTTGAGATGCAGCTCACTCTGTTACCCAGGCTGGAGTTCAGTGGTGTGATGACAGCTCACTGAAGCCTGAAACTCCTGGGTTCAAATGATCCTCCCATCTCAGGCTCTCAAGTAGCTGGGCCTATAGGCATGTGCCACCATATCTGCTTAATTTTTAAAATTTTTTTGTAGAGATGGGGTTCTTTGTGTTGCCCAGGTTGGTCTCCAACTCCTGGGCTCAAGCAATCTGACCGCCTTGGCCTCCCAAAGTGCTGGGATTACAGGCATGAGTCACTGTGCCCAACCTCATAATCTTTTCTTATCCCAATAAACAGATCTAGAGCCACATTAAATACCCAGTTGGTAATCCTTGCAACGTTAAAACCTGTCCAGCAAATTCAATATTCTATCCTATTAAACTCAAATGTGACCACATGCAAAATTATTCTCTGAGGACAGGAGTGTTTTTTTTTGTTATTTTTTAGGAAGAGGGAAGCAGAATGAGTTGGGACTAAGGAAGTGAGTGAACAACGGGCATGGTAAATACATATTTACCTGAAAGCCAAATACATAAAATAAACAAGGGGCTGAAACTCCCTTCAGAAAGCTAGAAGCTGAGCTATCTGAAAGCACAAGTTACATGACTAAGGCAGAGTTTAACTGTGGGGAAGGTGTAAGAAAGCATTTATGAGCATGTCTTCAAGTGTGTGAACTGCACTCATGTATCGCTAACAACCTAGTGAGATGAGACAGCAATGTAATAAATCTCATAATAAAGTTAAGTGTTAACACAAGGTGCTAAAAGTTAGAGAATGTTTCTCAAAGGAAGTGAGTCATTCATTTGGCAAGTATGTATTGAGTACCTATTGAATGTTAGCCTACAATCTACACACAAAATGCCCAACAAAGAAAGGCAGAATCCGTCTTCTCAAAGAGCTCATAGTCTACTGGCAGAGGTGGCTGTAATTTAAGAAAAGTATAAATATATATGTGTGTGTTGTGTGTGTGTGAGTGTGTGTGTGTGTATGAGAGTGTGTGTGAGACAGTGAGTGTGTGTATGTGTGTGTGTGACAGTGTGTGTGTGTGAGACAGTGTGTGTGAGTGTGTGTGTGTGACAGTGTGAGAGTGTGATGTATATATTATTAGAAATTGTGTTGAGTGCTGTACGGGAAATAATTCTATGAGAAAATAAGATGATGTAACTTACATTTGGGGCTTCAGGGAAAGCCTCTTTGAGAAAGCCACCTTGAAGTTGAAACCTGAGAGTTGAATAAGCAGACAGCACACCAGGCAGGAGTGACTTCTGGAGTGAAGTCTTCTGGAGTGAAGTCTTCTGGAGTGAAGTCTTCCGGGGTGAGCAGCCTTCAGTGATAAGGAATCTCACTTATGCAAGGCGTGAAAGCACAGGTGTAACAGGTATGAGGAACTACAGGTTACCATAGTTCAGTTAAGGGGAGGCGTGGAAATGGAAACACCAGGAAAAGAGAGAAACAAAAGGCAAAAATATGAAGATGGAAGAGGAACAAACCAGAAATTCAATTCAGTATGTGTTGATTATTTACTATGTGTTTAGCAATATCTTAGTGGATTCTTTTTTTTTTTTTTTTTTTTTTTTTTTGAGACGGAGTTTCGCTCTTGTCACCCAGGCTGGAGTGCAATGGCGCGATCTCGGCTCACCACAACCTCCGCCTCCTGGGTTCAGGCAATTCTCCTGCCTCAGCCTCCTGAGTAGATGGGATTACAGGCACACGCCACCATGCCCAGCTAATTTTTTGTATTTTTAGTAGAGACGGGGTTTCACCATGTTGACCAGGATGGTCTCGATCTCTTGACCTCATGATCCACCCGCCTCGGTCTCCCCAAGTGCTGGGATTACAGGCGTGAGCCACCGCACCCGGCCTAAAATGAATTTTTAAATTAACGAATGAATCTTACTTCCCACCACAGGCCCCTGACTACGACTTTACAGCAATCTGTGGCTAAAAATCACCCAGCTTTACTGGCTGCTTCTCAACAGGCCAGTAATGCTGATGAGGCTCTTCAGAGAGTGAAAAGTACTTTTTTTTTTTTTGAGACAGAGTTTCACTCCTGTTGCCCAGGCTGGAGTGCAATGGAGTGATCTTGGCTCATGGCAACCTCCACCTGCTGGGTTCAAGCGATTCTCCTGCTTTAACTTCCTGAGTAGCTGGGATTACAGGCATGCATCACCACACCTAGATAATTTTGTATTTTTTTAGTAGAGATGGGGTTTCTCCACGCTGGCCAGGCTGGTCTCAAACTCCCAACCTCAGGTGATCCGCCTGCCTTGGACTCCCAAAGTGTTGTGATTACAGGCGTCAGCTACTGCGCCCGGCCGTACTTTTTTATTTTATTTTATTTTTAAATATAGCTGCTCATGCCGAGCGCGGTTGCTCATGCCTTTAATCCAGCACTTGGGGAGGCCGAGGCAGGTGGATCACGAGGTCAAGAGATCGAGACCATCCTGGTCAACAAGGTGAAACCCCATCTCTACTAAAAATACAAAAATTAGCTGGGCATGGTGGCGCGTGCCTGTAATCCCAGCTACTCAGGAGGCTGAGGCAGCAGAATTGCTTGAACCCAGAAGGCGGAGGTTGCGGTGAGCCGAGATCGAGCCATTGCACTCCAGTCTGGGTAACAACAGCGAAACTCCGCCTCAAAAATAAATAAATAAATATATATAGCTGCTCATTGCTGACTCTTAAAAAAAAAAAAAAAATCTCATCTTTCCTCTTTCAGGATCTCAGATACAAAAAGTTAGAAACTGTTATTGAGGCTACTAAGCTTGAATGTCCTTGCTCTAATCTTTGCAAAGATAAAATCCACAGTACTTACTAGGCTGCTTGGATAAGCTGTTGTTTTACTTCTTACTGGAGGAGCTTAACAATGAAAAACAAAGTTTTATCTACAAAAAGTGATGTTCTAATTTGAGTTCAGCTCCAACATACTCTAAGTAATAATTCAATTAGTTCTGTGACTGTGGCAGAATGTCACACTCTTATGACAGTTAATTGCCTTATTTTCTTCCTCTAGTTTCCCCTTTATTACTATGGTTTGGAACCCATATTTCAGTCTCGTCCCTAGAGTCTAAGACAAAACAGCACACATTAGCTGGCTCACATTTATAATCGCAGCACTTTGGGAGGCTGAGGCAGGTGGATCATGAGGTTAGGAGTTCAAGACCAGCCTGGCCAACATGATGAAATCCCATCTCTACTAAAAAATCACAAAAATAGCAAAGTGTGGTGGCAGGCGCCTGTAATCCCAGCTACTCAGGATGCTGAGGCAGGAGAAATGCCTGAATCTGGAGGCAGAGGTTGCAGTGAGCTGAGATCACGCCACTGCATACTAGCCTGGGTGACAAAACGAGATTCAGTCTCAAAAAAAAAAGCACACATGGAGGTACATTTATTTGAGAGGGTAGGAGACAGCTGTACTCTTTTAAGGCTGGGACTGGAGACAGTAAACAATAGGCAGAGATGTTTTGTTTTATTATATATTTTTGAGACAAGGTCTTGTTCTGTGGCCCAGGCTGGAATGCAGTGTTGCAAACACGGCTCAGTACAGCCTCGACTTTCTGGGCTCAAGTGATCCTCCCGACTCAGCCTCCCAAGTAGCTGGGACTACAAGTGCATGTCACCATGCCTGACTAATTTTATTTTTATTTTTTTGAGACAGTCTCACCCTGTTGCCCACGCTGGAGTGCAATGGCGTGATCTCAGCTCACTGCAACTTCTGCCTCCCAGGTTCAAGTGATTCTCCTGCCTCAGCCTATCAAGTAGCTGGGATTACAGGTATGCGTCACCATGCCTGGCTAATTTTTTGTATCTTTAGGCCTTGCCTGTTAATCTTATTTTTATAGAGTCAGGGCCTTGCTATGTTGCCAGGTTGGCTGTGAACTCTTGGGCTATAGCTATCCTCACACCTTGGCCTCCCAAAGTGCTGGGATTACAGGTGTGAGCGACCACACTGGCTGTGTTTTGTTTTTAACTGGAGAAAGAAGCAATTCTGCTGACAATCATCAACACACTCCCAAACTTTCCGGGAGAAATGACCACTGGTTTCTCTGTGCTGCTCTCTTCTCTTCTCAGCAGGCTTATAGATTGCATGGGAAGAGGCAGTGCAGTGTGGGAGTCTGCCCACGAGAAACAGTAACTTGCTGCTGGAGCAGGGTGTCCTAGAGGAGACAGGGATTTGTTACAAGAGCATGGTGGAGAAATTGGTTTTTTTTTTGTTTTTTGTTTTAGATGGAGTTTCACTCTTGTTACCCAGGCTGGAGTGCAATGGCGTGATCTCGGCTCACCGCAACCTCCGCCTCCTGGGTTCAGGCAATTCTCCTGCCTCAGCCTCCCGAGTAGCTGGGATTACAGGCACGCACCACCATGCCCAGCTAATTTTTCGTATTTTTAGTAGAGACGGGGTTTCACCATGTTGACCACGTGGTCTCGATCTCTTGACCACGTGATCCACCGCCTCGGCCTCCCAAAGTGCTGGGATTACAGGCGTGAGCCACCGCGCCTGGCCAACAAACACATTCTTAAACCCTGCAGTGGTTTCCCTGCTCACTCTGCTCCAGCACAATGGCCTTCTTACTGTTCCTTGAACACACTAGACACACTTTCACCTTGGGGGTCTGTGCTGTGGTTTTTTCCTGTCCTTGATCCACTCTTTCCTCAGTTCTTCCCATGGCCCACCCCCTTACTTCTGTCAAATCTTTGCAGAAATGTAGGTATCTCAAAGAGGCTTATTTTGACCACCATATTTGAAACTGCAAATTACCTGACATATTCTCAATCCCTCTTACCCTGACCTACTTCTTTTTCCTAGCGCTAATCACTACATGATGTACTTAGTTGTGCTTATTGTCTTTCTGTTATTGCTTATCCTCTGTCTTCTCCCTGCAAGAATATGGAATCCATGGGTGAGGAATTTTTGTTACTGATGCATCCCAAAAGTTAGAACAATGAAGCATATGTAGCTACTCAAAAATTTGAGAATACAGGCTGGCTGTGGTGGCTCATACCTGTAATCACAACATTTTGTGAGGCTGAGGCCGGAGGATCACTTGAGCCTAGGAGTTCAAGATCAGCCTGGGCAACATAGTGAGATTCTGTCTCTATAAAAAAATTTAAAATTAGCTGGGCATGTGATGTGTTCCTCTAGTCCCAGCTACTCAGGAGGCTGGGGCAGGAGGATGGCTTGAACCTAGAAGGTCGAGGCTGCAATGAGCCAGGCCTGTACCACTGTACTTCCAGCCCACGCAACATAGTGAGACACTATCTCTAAAAACAGGAAAAAGAAAAAAAATTGAGACTACAGAGAATTTTAACAAGGTTACTCCTATGCTTAAGTGTGCATATGGCTGGGTGCCATAATCCCAGCACTTTGGGAGGCCGAGGCGGGTGGATCGCTAGGTCAAGAGATTGAGACCATCCTGGTCAACAAGATGAAACACCGTCTCTACTAAAAATACAAAAAATTAGCTGGGCATGGTAGTGCATGCCTGTAGTCTCAGCTACTCAGGAGGCTGAGGCACAGGAGAATTGCTTGAACCCAGGAGGTGGAGGTTGCGGTGAGCCAAGTTCGCGTGCCATTGTACTCCAGCCTGGGTAACAAGAGCGAAACTCCGTCTCAAAAAAAAAAAAAGTGTGCATACAATCTGGTTAAAAGGTGGCATATATGTAAAAAATATAAATATTAACACAAGGGGGCTGGGTGCAGTGGCTCACACCTGTAATCTCAGCATTCTGGGAGGCTGAGGCAGACAGATCACCTGAGGTCAGGAGTTTCAGATCAGCCTGGCCAAAATGGAGAAGCCCTGTCTCTACAAAAAAATACAAAAAATTTAACTGGGTGTGGTGGCAGGCACCTGCAATCACAGCTACTCAGGAGGCTGAGGCAGGAGAACCACTTGAACCTGGGAGATAGAGTGGCAGTGAGCTAAGATTGCACTACTGCACTGCAACCTGGACTGCAGAGCCAGACTCTCAAAATAAATAAATGAATACAAGCTAATTAGCACATGCTGATAAGACTCTAATCATATAATGAATCCGCACACAAAATTTTGAACACAATGATAGGGAGTTTAAACATTTCCTGAAGCCAGTTATGGGTCCTGAGTTGAGAATCCTTGGTTTCAGATACGGTTTTATCACTCAGGGCTTGTTGAGGATGGAATTCAAACTAGTTCTTAAATAACAAGCTATAAAGGAGAAAGGTGGGCAGTGGGGGGAAGGTCATCTCAAGTAAGGGACATAGCTAAGATAACAGCAGGTTGGGCATGGTGCCTCACACCTTGAATTTTGGGAGGCAGAGGTGAGTGGATTGCTTGAGCCCAGGAGTTTGAGATCTGCCTGGGCAACATGGCAAAATCCCATCTCTACAAAAAATACAAAAATTAGCTGGGCACAGTGATGCATGTCTATAGTCCCTTCTACTTGGGAGATTTGCTTGAACCTGGGAGGTGGAGGTTGTAGTGAGCCAAGATCAAGCCACTACACTCCAGCCTGGGTGGCAGAGCCTTGCTCTGCCTCAAAAAATAAAAAGAGATGACAGCAGAACCATTTGACTAGAATGGAGGATTTATGCACTAGGTAAGAAACAGGCTGAGAAGTGCTGGTGTATGACTTAAATTGTGTGGATATTTCAAATAATTGAAAGTTTTTGGGCAAAAGAATATGTAATGTCTAAAGCACCGTCTTTAGAAAATTATTTTGGTAGTTGTTTAGAAGGAAATGATTCACAAAATCATTATAATGATTCAAGTTTGAAATGAAAAAAGAATTAGTAAGGTTTAGAATGATGAATTTATTTAGAAATACCCAGTTTGAAGCAGAGCATGCTGGCTCACGCCTGTAATCCTAGCACTTTGGGAAACTGAGGTGGGTGGATCACCTGAGGTCAGGAGTTTGAGACCAGCCTGGCCAGTGTGATGAATGAAACCCCATCTCTACTAAAAATACAAAAATTAGCTGGGTGTGGTGGTGGGTGCCTGCAATCCCAGCTACTGGGGAGGCTGAGGCGGGAGAATCTCTTGAACATGGGAGGCAGAGAGCTGAGACTACATCACTTTACTCCAGCCTGGGCAACAGAGACTTCGTCTAAAAAAAAAAAAAAACCAACCCGGTTTGAAATTGAAAGTCAGAAATAAAGTTTAGGTCAGGCCCAGTGGAGTGTTGAGATCTCGGCTTACTGCAACATCCACCTCCCAGGTTCAAGCGATTCTCCTGCCTCAGCCTTCCGAGTAGCTGGGATTATGGCGTGTGCCAACGTGCCCAGCTAATTTTTGTATTTTTAGTAAAGACAGGGTTTCATCATGTTGGCCAGGCTGGTCTCAAACTCCTGACCTCACGATCTGCCTGCTTTGGCCTCCCAAGGTGTTGGGATTACAGGCGTAAGCCACCACACCTGGCCACTCAGGCCCAGTTATGTAGATCTGGATGTTACTTATTGGATCTTTGAGTATAGGGAGAAAGAAAAGGTATGAGAGAAAAATAATAAAAATAGAGATTATTCAAAGGCTATGCATGAGACGAATTGAATAGTCTATTACTGTGATAATAATAAAATGTTGAATTTATATAGGGTAAAATCTTGATAGAATGCTTGAATTATATAGGTATTATGGGAAATAGAATGTTGTGGTTAATTGAGGAATAATACAAATTTTTTTTTTTTAAATAGAGACGGGGTTTCTCCATGTTGGCCAGGCTGGTCTCAAACTCCTGACCTCAGGTGATCCATCCACCTCAGCCTCCCAAAGTGCTGGGATTACAGAGGCGTGAGCCACCGTGCCCGGCCCAAATTTTTTTTTTAACTTTTGCTTGCTGGTTTTTTTTCCCCAAAAAGTATAAATACGTTTTTTCCTCTTGATAACTAGGTAACACAGATAAATTGCTTTTAGATTATTCAAGCTGTCACCATCCCTCAAGTGATTACTGTCAGATACATGTTTTCAATGTAAAGTATCACAGTTATGGAGTTTGGGATATAGCCATGGCAACCACAGAACATACACTGGTGGTTTTTTTTTTTTTTTTTTTTTTGGAGATGAGTCTCAGTGGAGTGCAGTGGCACAATCCCGGCTCACTGCAACCTCCGCCTTCCGGGTTCAAACGATTCTGCTGATTCTGCTGCCTCGGCCTTCCGGAGTAGCTGGGACGACAGGCGTGTGCCTCCACGCGCCTCTTCCAAGCTGAAAACACTTGAGTAGAGCTGAGACTCTCCGCTGGTCGGAAAACCCCCGGCAAACGTGCCGGTCCCCTACACCTGGCTGATTTTTTGTATTTTTAGTAGAGACGGGGTTTCACCGTGTTAGCCAGGATGGTCTCGATCTCCTGACCTCGTGATCCACCCACCTCCCAAAGTTCTGGGATTAAAGGCGTGAGCCACCGCACCTGGCCCATACCCTAGTGTTTTAAGATTTTTGATCTCTATTTGACTTTTAGGGAAAGTCAGATAACACCGAAAGAATTGTAACAAAAAAATTTAAGTATTTTTAAGGTTATATTAATTAAATAGGACTTCAGTGCTTTTTTTTTTTTTTGCCAACACTACAAAGGAGAAAGATGTTATCAAATGTATTATTACACCATTGGCACAGTTTCTATTGGTGTCTACTTGCTTTGTGGTACAGAAAATGTTTATGATTTAGACTTCTCCTACTTTGGAAATTGCTCCCGTTCGCTTCCTTTGTGACCCTCCAGATCTAATCTGAACCTTCAGGAATAGTTCAATTTCAGTGTTACAAATGTTGGTTCCCCCCCCCCCCCCCACCCTGGAATCCTATCAGAATGTTTGTCACTTTAGAAACTTTCTTATTCTGGTGCAACACGCCAAGAAACCCAGGTATAAAATAGTGACTGTTTCATCTTGCGTTGGCACGCGTGCCCGTCCTTACAAATCTAGACCCCGTGCATTACATGCATACCACTATCCCTACGGATCTCCTAGTAAACAGTCTTACAGACTCCGCTTGAGGCTTCTGAAAAAGAATCAATTACCTTAAATGTTATTAAGAGCTGTTCATAAACCACTGAGCAGCAGACGTGAATCCTGCACAGACGCAGTCCGCAGTTCCCAAAGCGCTTCCCGCCCCGCCCCCCGTCTAGGAACAGCCGGTGAGGACAAACCTTCGCTAAGAAGCGGAGGCCGCCAGTGCTCACCACGCAGGAAAAGGACATCTGGCTTGAGAATACCCGTGCGCTGCCACGTTCTTCTCTCTCCCCACCCCGCCTAAAAAACACACACACAGTGAAGCGTAAATCTTGAGTCCTTCGGTACCTTCTCAGAAACGGCGGGGAGGAGGCTTCACAGGGGCTTCCGGACAGGGGATCCAGACGGTCGCGCGAGTCCTCGAGCCCTCTAGGCGGGACAGTCCCCGTCCCGAAGGGAGGGCGCAGGAGGGCTGGAGCCGTCCCAGCTCCCGGCAGGGGACCCCGCGTGCTGGCCCCGAAGCAGTGGCAGTCGGGGTGGCGCTCTTCTCTTCGGGGTCCCGGTACCCCTCAGGGCAGGGCGGGAGACAGCTGAGGAGGCGCCCTCAAGTTCGCCTCAAGCTCCGGACGCAAGGCCCGCCGCGGCTTCCCCGGTCCGGCTTTCCGTCTGCCCGGGCGGATGCGGAATGAGCAACCTGAGCCCCCAAGCGGGAGCCGGCTTCACCTGGGAAGCAGCCCAGCAGCCCGGAAGCCACGCCCAAGGGAGGAGCTTGCGGACGCCCCGCCGCGTGGAGCGCGCCAGGTGAGCACGCCTGCGCAGTCGGGCCGTAAACAAGCCCGCCCCTTCTCTTCGGCCCGCCTTCGTGGGGCTGGCCCGCGGGTGGGAGGGGCGAGAAGGAAGAGGCGGGGTGGGGGAAGAGCGAGCAGCAGGAACGGCGCCTGCGCGGTGGGCGTGATCCGGGCACTTAGGGCAGGATGAACGCTGCTTTCCAAGATGGCGACGGAGGGAGGAGGGAAGGAGATGAACGAGATTAAGACCCAATTCACTACCCGGGAAGGTCTCTACAAGCTGCTGCCGCACTCGGAGTACAGCCGGCCCAACCGGGTGCCCTTCAACTCGCAGGGATCCAACCCTGTCCGCGTCTCCTTCGTAAACCTCAACGACCAGTCTGGCAACGGCGACCGCCTCTGCTTCAATGTGGGCCGGGAGCTCTACTTCTATATCTACAAGGGGGTCCGCAAGGTACCGACCCGGGCGTCACCGGGGCCCGCCAGCGGCGTGGGCAGAGGCCGGGAGCAGGGCGGTGACAGCGGGGCCAGGGTGACCGAGATGGGTGGCCGTCGCTCTTACTTTTGAGTGGGCCGGTAACTCCACTGGGGTGCTCCTGAGGAGAGGGGATTCAGGAGTGAGGAGGGTGGTGGCGGTGGCGTTTCGAAGGAGTGGGGGCTGTGGAAAGGGACCGTGGGGCGCGGGGTTCCGCCTGGGAGTCTCCCGGAGGAGCCGGCTGCGTCCCCTCCAGCCTGGTCCGTCAGGCTCTGACATGGCCAGGGAGCGGGCCTGCGAGTCCCCGGAAGAGGTGGGGTGGCCGTCTTGTCTGCTTCGATTGTCTCGCCTCCCTGGAGGGTTGGAAGTCTTTCCCTGGGTTAGAGAACAGGGGCGCAAGACGGCTTAGCAGGATCTCCGCAAGGCGGAACCCGGGCCGGGGAGCGGAGGACCGAGACTAGGTCAGAAAGAACCTGCTCGGCACGCAGGGCTACTCCACCTGCTGCCGCACTGACACTTCCTAGGAGCTTCTTTTGGTATTAACACTTCTATTTCCGAAAACATCCGCGGGAGGACGGCTGTCACTGTCTCCTCCGAGGGGACCTTCTCAAAGATTGTTAAGAAGGGTCATCTTGTCTGTCCCTGTAGTATGAGAAGGGCTGAGTACCACAGTTGTTGCAATAATGTGTCCAGGTTCAGAGGGGTGGTGTGTGAGTGCCCAGATTAATCTTGTCCAACAAGTCAGACTGTGTCCCAAGTAGGGAGGAATATGCCTTAAAAGCTACTTTAAAGGGGCCATCCTTCTTGGCGGGTGAGGTACCAGTAATTCTGTGAAGCCTGTAAGCATCCTTTAAAAGTATCTCTTTAAAAGCAGCAATTTATTAGAGCTTTTCTTTCGTTGACTATGTAACTATGTTTTCACTGAGAATTGCTATTTTTGAGATTGTAGTCTTTGACTTGATTTCATGGAAGAGTGAGGAAATTAATGCATCCCACACCACCTCCAAATGGGACAAGGTGATAAAAGATTAATTCGTAAATGTATGTTAGCATGAAAATAAATTGTACATAGCGAAGAGTGAACATTCCCTAGAATTTAATATAGCCAGATCCAGTACAGGATTTTTGCTTGTTAAAAGAGCTGGGGAAATGACAGTGGTATCTAAATGTAGCAAGTTGTTTCTTTCAGGGTGAATCTTTTAAGTGTTTAGGGTATGCTGTTGGAAGTTATTGAAGGTAAATCGCTTGACCTTTTTTTTTTTTTTTTTTTCTCTTTTGGTATTGCAAAAGCTTGAAGTTGCCTTCAGTCTACGAGCTGAAGTTTTACTCCTACTCCCAACATTGTCACTTGTTGGGTGACCTTGGATAACTTATTTAACTTATATTTTCACCTCTTTGAAAAGGGAATGTTACAGTGCATATGTTGTAATTAATAATATAATAACTCTGGCCGGGTGTGGCTCATGCCTGTAATCCCAGCACTTTGGGAGGCCAAGGCAGAGGGATCATCTGATGTCGGGAGTTCGAGACCAGCCTGACCAACGTGGAAAAACCCCATCTCTACTAAAAATACAAAATTAGCCGGGCGTGGTGGTGCATGCCTGTAATCCTAGCTGCTTGGGAGGCTGAGGCAGGAGAATCACTAGAACTCGGAAGGCAGAGGTTGCAGTGAGCTGAGATTGCACCATTGCGCTCTATCCTGGGCAACAAGAGTGAAACTCTGTCTCAAAAAATAATAATAATATAGTAACTGTAATGAACACTCAGTATATGTAAAATATAGTTAAATACTAAGAGTAACTGTCAAATAAGAAGCTGCCATCTTGACGTTGATATTCAGAGTGAAAGGATCAATTTTGTCTCTGGAAATTAAGTTAGAATTTTAAGTTTTAAAAATACAGTGTGCCTAAAAACTAAATTAACTAGCAATTATTAATGCAGGCATTACTTTAAAAAAAAGTTTTCTGGCTGGGTGCGGTGGTTCACGCCTGTAATCCCAGCACTTTGGGAGGTCAAGGCAGATGGATCATCTGAGGTCAGGAGTTCAAGACCAGCCTGGCCAACATGGTGAAACCCCGTCTCTACTGAAAATGCAAAACTTAGCCAGGCATGATGGCGTGTGCCTGTAATCCCAGCTACTCAGGAGGCTGAGGCAGGAGATACCTCTTGAACCCGGGAGGCGGAGGTTGTCGTGAGCTGAGATTGTGCCACTTCACTGCAGCCTGGGTGACAGAGCTAGACTCCATCCCACCCTCAACAAGTTTTTTTTTTTTCTTTCAAAGGTTATTACCTTAGAAGCATCCTAGTGGCAAACCTTATCTGGATCTGGTAGCCCTGGTTTACCTCATAAAGACAGGTTTCTTGCCTGGGAGTATCATTGTAATAGTGTTCTCTTTTAGTGGAACGCTATTCACGGAAGGATAGAAGTAGGCAAGGTTTTTAAAGCTATATCAAAAAATTATTTTAAATAAGATAAATCTGAAATACGTAAATTGCCCTTACCTGCACAATTCGAGTGTTTTAACGTGTTTTGGGGGGTAGGATTTCATTTTCATGTGGTAGTAGCTTGTAGATACATTTGCATTATGTTGCAGATGTTTCAACTCTTTTAATTGTAACTTAAAATCTTTTTTCCATGAATGAGTTTGCATTTATTTAGTGTTATTTCTAAGTGACTTTTTGTGACTATTTTTTGATTTAAAATATAGGAAATTTTCCTTAATTGGAAAACCAAAATTTACCTTTTAGAGTTAGTAGTTATAAGTTTATTTTTGACAGCTGGCCATTAAACATGTGTTTATTTTTGTTTTTAGAGACAGGATCTTATTCTGTTGCCTGGGCTGGAGTGTGGCAGCATGCTCATAGTTCACTATAGCCTCAAACTCCTGGGCTCAAATGATCCTCCCACTTCAGCCTCCCTAGTGCCTGGAACTCAGGCGTGCACCACCACACCTGGCTAATTTTTTAAAAAAAATTTTGTTTTTAAGAGATGGAGGTCTTGCTGTGTTGCCCAGGCTGGTCTTCCTGGCCTCAAGCAGTCTTCCCGCCTCAGCCTGCTAAAGTGCTGCTGAGATTATGTATGTGACTTACCACGCCCAGCCCACAGTTGGCTGTTTTGACTGTTTTTTTTTTTTTCCTTTGAGGCATGTACAGTTTTACAGTAATTATTTGGATTATTCAGAAGATCTAATTTCAATGAATAAATTCAACTTAAGTCTGTATGTAAAATGAGTAGAAAGTAGGTCTTTTCAAGAACTTAAATCATGAATTACGTGCTGCCATTCTTGAGAGGAAGCATGGGGCCCTGGGGAAATGGAGTGGGTGAGGAAGTAGTCCAGCATTCACGCCGAGGAGTGCCATCTTGACCCTTTTAAAAAGGTTTACAGATCAGTGTCTGCAGCTACGAGGAACTCTAGAGTTTGTTATTTCACCCTACTCAGAAACCAAGGCCAGAGAGGGATGCAAACCTGTGTTAGAATTTTTCTCATAGTAAGGAAAGTGAAGCCTAACTTAGTCTAAACAACTATCTTAGAAGAGGCTGAGCTTTTTATATCATATACTCCAAGCACTTCAGAATCTACCCCAGCATTTTACCGTATATTATTTTGTTGAATCCTTGAGGTAAATTAAAACATCTTTTCACAATCGAGGAGGTTTGGAATGGGGTTTCTTGTATGAGGAGATATAGTTTTGCAAATTTATTGAACTAAAGACAGTATTAACATTGATTTAATGCTGACACTAATCATCTCACCAGATTTGAGTGACTACTGTGATAGTAATAATACTAGGCAAGATGATGTGAGGTATTCAGACCCAAATAAGACCCTGTCCCTCTCCCCAAAAGACTTTCAACTACCAGCTTTCAAACATCTTTTTACATACTTTGTTCTCCTTTTTGAAAAAGAGGTTGTGGTCGGGTGCAATGGCTCATGCCTGTAATCCCAGCACTTTGGGAGGCTGGGGTGGGAGAATCACTTGAGTGCAGGAATTTGAGACCAGCGTGGGCAATGTAGCAATACCCTGTGTCTTCCAAAAAAAAAAAAAAAATTAGCTGGACATGGTGGTATGTGCCTGTAGTCACAGCTACTTGGGAAGCTGAGGAAGGAACATCTCTTGAGCCCAAGAGTTAAGGTTACAGTGAGCCATGATTGTGGCACTGCACCCCAACCTGGGCAACAGAAGGAGACCCTGTCTGGGTAACAAGACCAAAACTCCGTCTCGGAAAAAAAAAAAAAGAATGCTGGAGACTATGTGCAGTGGCTCCTGGCAAAAATAAAAGCCAGGGTGGCTCACACCTGTAATCCCAGCACTTTGGGAGGCTGAGGCAGGTGGAGCACCTGAGGTCAGGAGTCCGAGACCAGCCTGGCCAATATGGTGAAACCCTGTCTCTACCAAAAATACAAAAATCAGCTGGGCGTGGTGGCACTCGCCTGTAGTCCCAGCTACTTAAGAGGCTGAGGCAGGAGAATCACTTGAACCCAGGAGACGGAGGTTGTAGTGAGCCAAGATTGTACCACTGCACTCCAGCCTGAGCCTGGGTGACAGAACTAGACTTTGTCTCAAAAAAAAAAAAAAAAAAAATGGTTGTTTCAGGATGTAGGTTATAAAAGATGTCAAAGGTGTAGCTGGGCTTATTGGACCAGACCTCTTATTTTACGGTATGAATGGCCTCCATTCAGATCTCAGCTTAATCATTACTTCCTTAGTAACTCCTTCTTTAAATCCCCAGGGTGTATCAGTTTTCCCCCATTACATGTTTTTGTTTGTTTTGAGAAAGAGTCTTGCTCTGTTCCCTGGCTGGAGTGCAGTGATGTGATCTTGGCTCACTGCAACCTCCACTGCTAGGGCTCAAATGATTCTTGTGCCCCAGCCTCCTAAGTAGCTGGGATTTCCAGCATGCATCACCATACCTAGCTCATTTTTTTTTTTTTTTGAGATGGAATCTTGCTCTGTCATCAGGCTATAGTGCAGTGACA